CTGCGCAATCAATCATGTAACGTCTGAACTGCCATGCTGCTTAAATGCAAGCGGGCGGCTTCGGACACATGTCTGCGTAACATCTGAAGTCACAATTCTGGGGCTTACGGTCTGGCTCTGCTTGCGGCTTCTGCCGTTTCTGGGTATGCCTCCCCGTCGATCGACGCAAACAGTGGCGAAGACAACTTCAACTACTAGGACCATAAAAATATCTTCCATTCTCAGGATTTCGTCGTTGATAAAAATTGAAAGTTCAGGACTTTTATCTGCTGAACATAGCATGGAGAGCGGAAACGTGATCCTGCCAGTCTAGTGTTGGCAAGACTGCCCTCCTGCTGGCGAAACTCGTGGATGAGAAATGCCACCCAGCAAATGCATCGGGCAGGGCTCGGTGCACCGCCGCCAACTGGCAATGCCAATCCACAGCACAAAGAGCTGCTTCTGAGCTCTAACCACTACGGCGTTGCGACGCTGTGCCTCAGCTACGCTTTTCGAAGGCTGCCAACCGGGCCTCCATCTCTTTGAGATCAGGATCGGCCTTGATTTCCTTGTTGCTGTAGCCGAATTCGGTGCGCAGCTTGGCCTTGTACACTTCAATGTCGCCTTGAAGCTGTGCATACTCCTTCTGTTCTTCGGCACTAAGCGGGGTCTTCTTCTTGGCATCCTTCTTGGCGTCCTTGTCCTTCTTGGAGCTACCTGGATCCTGCTTTTCCTTCAGCTCGTTCAGGCGAGTCACCATGGATACTATCTTCTCGTTCTTGTTGATCTGGCCGCCGCTCATGCCCTGCTCTTTCAGGATGGCCTTCTCCTCGAACAGGAACGTGTGACCAAGACATAATCATTCAATACTAGCCGATCAATGCCATTCCACACTGCGTGCTCAGAAACCTGTGCCTCTACCTGAACCAGACATCACCTTGTGCCTGTGTTTATGCAAATGGCATGCGACACTCGTCCTCGACAATCTGCTGCTTCAAGCTTTCGAGCTCCTTGAGCTCATCGGGGCTGAGGCCTGCGCTCTCCTTCTCTTTCTTCTCCTTCTTGTTGTCCTTGCGGGCCTTCTGCTCGGGGGCCTCCTGCACGGTCTCCGGCTTCTCGATCTGCGGAAGCACCGCCGCCTTCGTGACGAAGTGGCCGAACCTCTACTCTTCGACGGCAGACTACAGATCTCGTTCTTTGGAGGTTTCTGACAGACTGCGAGTGTCAGAGGCAAAGAACATACACAACGGAATCTCTGAAATGGGACTATTTCTGAATAGTCAAGGAACTTTGGCTCGAGCCCCTTGACAATCTTGCAGGCATCCACGTACTTGTGTTCGTTCTTCAGCTCGGCTATCTCCTTCCCCTTGGCCGAGCGCTCCTTTTTGTTGTCTTTGCCAGTCAGCTTCCGTCTCCAACTTGGCGATCCTTGTCTCAACCTCTTTCTGATAAGCCTCGGCCGCGGCGCTGTCGTACTCAGCACCGGAGGCCTCCGTGGCTTTCAACAGCTTCATGCCCATTTCTGCCTGCAATTCGAGCGCCCCACCCTTGACTCGGCCATCGACGGCGGCCATGTTGAACACAGAGCACGGCAAAGTGGCCGGCAGCGAAGTACAGCGACTACAACAATGGCTCGAGCCGAGTGGGCAGCAGACTCTCAGATGCAGTGCCTAGGCAAACCAAGCGCAGGGCAGGATCAAGCAGACTGCTGCATCGCACAGGGCGCAGATCACACATTAGCCACCCGGCAAGCACAGCAATGCCCCTTCAGGGATCATGCAGACAAGAGTACCTCTGCAAATCAAAAAGCAGGGATTTAGCAACCTTGTACCTTTCGGATTTCTGTTCCGTACAAGGAGCAGATTTGAGGCACTGGCCTCACTCTGACACCAGTTCTGAGTTTCGTAGCAGCGAAAGTCATCCCAAGGTTGCATCGTGGGACTGCATCGAAGTCAGAAGCTAGCGTCTTGGAGGCTTGCTTGTAGGAGTGCTACCGTAGCCCGAGTTCTGGGCCCGCACAAGACCCATGACCATCGACTGAATCTAGCGACAAGGCTCCCTGGCCGCTAGACTCGAGGCCAGGCTAGGGCTAGGGGGGTATGTTGCCATGTTTCGGCGACAGAAACCGGAAGGGGACCATGTAACCACGAGCAAAGCAGGCCTTCCCCTGCGAGGGTGGTCTCTCCATGGCTCGGCTGCATGGGCTGCTAGGACTGCTGGGAAATTCTGATCAATCACCGAAGTGACGAGGCCTCTCACCCATGGGTTAGCCAAGGCATGTCGGTTAGTGGGCTTGAGTTGCCTTGGGGCCTTGGGGTTGTGCATTATTGCCGCGTCCTCGCCCCGGCTAGCGAGAAAAGATGCCAGCTGGTGGCAGTACGCAAGTCCATGTCTTGAGGTAGGAAAACGTCTCTTCCAGCAGCACTGTGCCTTCTTGGGAGCTGCACAAAGCGACTTGCAACCAACCTGCCCCCGATGTCGGCTCCGTTTCTGTCCGCAAGACAAGCGTCAACTCTGGCCTAGCTGACTGCGACTAGTGACTAGAGAGGATACCAGAACCTGTATGCTGCATGCTGCAACAAACCATTTACAAAAATGTGCGCTGCGTGGATCACAGTCGTTTTCTGCGTGCGTAGCCGGCTTCGTGGCTTGTTTGTTGGTTCACAAGGTCGAAAGGCCCGAGCATCCGCTGCTTTTGGGTGAGACGTAGCCGGCTGGAGCGAGCGCGAAATTCGAGCCAGAAGCATCAGCACTGCAGCATTCTGCCGGCTCAGGTCGGCACGGCCGCTAGCCAGCTGCAGCCCATGCCGAGCGTACCTCTGCGAAGATTTTCTAAAGAGCGCAGAAGCCAAGGCCGGGCCGGGGCCCTCATGTCCCAGTTCGAGCCGAGCCCGGCACTCGGGGCTTTCGTCCTGAAGGACATTGTGCCGACTTCGAAGGACTGGAATTCCACAGGCTGACGGCACTTGTGGGGCAAAACCTTTCCTGCTGCCCGGCGCCGCTTTGCTGCTGCGCCTCTGCAGGCTGGTCAAGTAAGGGGACCATGGCATAGTGCTTTTGATCGGCGGAATGCTACAGACATGCACAAGTAGGGCGGCATGCCAGCTGCTAGCTCGTTGTGAAACCCTAGCAAGCTTTCTGTTTTGGCGGCGACGGATACTCTACTACCAAACATCGTTTGCAGTCTTCGGGGTCCCAGCTGTCGGAGTCAGAGTCGTTGCCCACCGCAGATGGCCCTGAAGCCTTCTTGCCTGTGGCCCAGAGATGTTGAACGAAAACTTGGACACTGGTCAGTCTGCATATGCAAGATGCTCCCACATTGGTGCAGTCTCTGGGCCTCTTGGGCGCTCCTCCTGCTCCGTTGCATCGCTGCTTTTGAGTTTCCTGCGGCGACGAAACGCTGTGCAAACACGCTAGCTTCCAGTGTCCTTCCACTTCTTTCAGAGGCAACCAATTATCACCTCCCGAGCACAACATCCCGCCCCACAACGTCCTGAGGTTGTCGCGAGGAGCGCGCTTCTTGCCCACCCTGCTCGAAACTGTCACAACGGGTGCGAGAAGGTCAAATGCAGTTTGTTTTCGGGTCTTGTGCGCAGAAGAGTTGTATGAGAGACCTGCTCTTCCGTTCTGGCTCGTGCTTGCTGCTTCCACTCACACAGCACGTGCTGGGCTGCGCCAATGTTGAGGCACATGCTCTACCACTTGCCCACCGCTTCGCACGAGAGCCTCCTTGGTGGTCAAGGGCTAAGGCCAGCTTCAAGAGACAATGCAAAGCCGATGCTTTGCATGACTCAGACGGAAGTGACGTTACTAGGCTGAGTTCGCGTCCGCCTCTTCCTGCTTTGCTTGACGCTCAAGGTCGTCTCGCAGCTTCTGCTCGTACCTTTGTCATCAGCATGCTATTCTGAAACGATCTTGCTTTACCGATCCTCACCTGCCAGTGCCAAATAGGGCAAAGGCAAGCATACAACTAGGCACTGGATAAACGTCTCCAATCTATGTCTTCTGTGCATCTGACAGAAGCAGGGGAACAGCAGCAGCTTCTTGACACGGCGCACTCCATTTGCCTTCGCGCTTCCTGCTCTTGGCGCTGTTTCGCATGGAAGTCCGAACCTGCAGCCACGGAGGACGAACACGTTCATGCAATGCCTGAAAGCTGACAGCGTGTGCAGCTTCGAGGCCGCGACTAGACTCTTTGACAGAGAAGAACATCGGACCTAACCTCGCAACATCCAATCAAGGAAACGGCACACGACTCCCTGGAGCTAGCAAAGCAAACTGCGACTCCCTTCCTCACCTAACGCTTTGTGGAGTCTAGTGCGCAATCGAATCGACAAGCGCATGTCGGAATATGCACGTGTCATTGTGACAGGAGCTATGCAGGGCTACGATAAGCCAAACACTCTGCAAGCCAGTATGGATCCACTGCCGTCACTGTCTGCATGTACTCCTTGACGGTGTACATGACCTGGCTGAAAGGAAGAGTGTGCTGCCTCGGCAGAAGACGTTCGACAACAAACATGCACAGACGCACGCCCGGGCATGTATATTTCTCTTCATACATATATTCGTATGTGTGTGTGTGTGCATATGTATACAGATACATGTGTGTATATATATATAGAGAGAGAGAGAGAGAGAGAGAGGGAGAGAGAGAGAGCGGGTGCATCGAAACGCGGGCTCGTCTTTTCGAGTAAAACAAGCGGAGTAAAACAAGCGTTGTTAAGCATGAGGATTTTAGAAGATGAGTTGGTATCGCCACTTGTGCGTAAACGCAGGCGGGTTTTGTATAGGGCGACAGGCTTTCCACAGAAGGTCCAAGTGCTCCTGTATGTACATAGATGGATGGCGTTTCTGTATATGTTCATACTGATATTGGTTATGCTCCATGGTACAAAGTAAAAACCTTGAAAACAGATTCATTTGGATACATATATAAGTATAACATCTATTATCTATCTATCTATATGGTTAGGACACCCAGCCCGCCTCCAAGATCCACCAAACTTAGGCCTTGCATCCACTTGCCCCCGGGACAAGCCTCGAATCATCCTTGAGCTGGGCCCAGACCCAAGCACCATTATTGCACGCGGGTGTTGCCCAAGCAACCGTGGATCTAGCACCCGCAGGAATCGTTCCTGATTCGGACCCATGTGCATCCGTCGAACTGCTCCCATCGAAGCCACAGGTTTCATATCGCGTCCTGACTAAAGCTTAAGCGGATCTTTTGAGGTATAGTCTACTGAGACTCTACTGTGCATAAGTGCAATGGACCCTCTGCCGAAAGACGTAAAAGTAGTGTGTGATGGGGGGGCGCGGGGCCTGAAGTTGTACATCATGATGGCTACGAACCATCACGGGCCGTACAGACATGATGACCGTACCGTACTTTTTTCGCATTGGTCCACCGATTTGTAGGGGCATTGGCCTCATGATAGACGACATAATCTGGAGTGTAGCCCAGGCCATACCTTTCCCAAAGGCGGCATCATGCTGCCAAACTCCCAGCACTGCCAAAACAGCCACCGCCAGTAAGAAGCGGGCAGCGAGCTTGTGGGGTGCAAGTTTGCCGGAATACGTGACCTTATTACAATCATTCCGCAGGTCATGCTGAGGGACCAGTGGCGAACCACAGCGACGGCTTTGCACTCGCCTACAAGGACTTCGAAACTTCAAAGTCGCAGTCTATAGCAGCACAGGACGGATGTGCTGATGCAAATTCCCGGAGCATATCCAGCTGAGGATGTACACCTCAGCGATCATTTCCGCGTTCTTAGCTGCCTGCCTGAGATTGACGTACTCGCCAATCCCTCGTAACCTGAGGTCCAAACGTGTCAACGTGCGCCAAAGATGTGAAGGAGGCAGATCACGGGTAGCGCTTCTGACAGTCCACTACATATCAAAAGCCTCCAGCTCGAAAGAACCCCTCCAAAACGCACAGCATACCAATGCATCGACGTAGTGGGAGTCAGCCTGTGCCTCTCTCTGGCGTTCTTTCCGACATGAACACCCCAAGGCACCCTCTTCTGGGGGCTCTGCTTGCTAGCATTGTGGAAGTACCCCGCGCAAATGGCTTTCCGAACCACGTCCCAGTCAGTGCCTCAGTATGCAGGAACGAAGAGCCCGGACGACTGCCGCCATCTCTACGATGAACGCAAAGCCTTTTCGCTTGGACCCTGCATGATCTACAGCAGCTCATCGTTCAAGCTTCCTTTTGGCATCTTCTTTTGCGGACAGGTGTATTGGTTTCTAGAGATGGCCCATGCCAATGAGGCCCTCAAGCCACGACCCCTCTCAAGTGCCGGAGAAATACCCCACCACGCTGGCAGCCCACAAAAGGCCTGTCTGAAGTCTGAGCACATGACGCACATCACGGCCTATTAATCTCCCCCCATCCCTGACATGAGGCTTCCCTCTCTCGGGACCCGTCCAATGGAATTCACCTGCAGTCTCTGCTGCTGCCTCAGTTCTGCGGGCAGCGTTCAGCCCTCTATCTTGCAACAGCAGATGGGTGCTGGCGTTCGGGCGTTTTTGAGTGCTGACATCTGTCTGTGCACTTCAGGCTCGCGTAAGCTCCACGAACCTCTACCCCCAAGAACTGCTCCTCCACTCAGCCCAGTTGCATGATCTCCTCGAGCTGGCCCCTCCTGAAACTGCAAAATCGACCAGTAGAAATTCGCGAGCAGCACCAACCACTCATCTGTCTTCGCATGGGTTTCACACCGTCCAACTGCGTTGCGCGGCTTCAAGAGGTTTCATGGGCGTCTGCTCAACATGTGGCAATGGGCAACTGCAGAAGCTGAAGCGCTGAAGCAGCGGCACTTCCCGTACTTTCTTCAGAGACTTCTGGTGCACGAAGTGGTCGCCGCACCATCTCGCACCTGGCTGCAACTCTCGCTCTGCAGCCACTAGGAGGTGCCTGCACCGACAAATAAAGGACCGTCTGCTCCCAATACCTCGCAATACGTTCAGGCCAGCTTGGGGCGGCACTGTAACCGTTGTGGGCCCACTGCTGGTAAACGTTCAGGAAAGTCAAGTGGTCACCTTAAGTACAAGCCATCTCAGTTCAAGCCTTTGTGTGGTGAGTTCCAAAACTTCGCCTCTTACACTTGCAGTAGGTGTGGTCATCGGTCAGTTTGGGGGCTGCACTCTCAGGCACGAAGAACTTCTCCCTGGCCGCGTCACTCTCATCGGCCCGATCCTGAACAGCAGGGCACCAACTCGTTGCACTGGTCAGAGCACGCCTAATGCTTGGTAGAGCCTGCCTTCGGTCGGAAGAAGATCGACGGCACGGAGAGCATGGACACCACAGTCATGATCTGCACACCCAGTCACTGATTGTTGCTGCATGGCCCGAACGGCCAACGAAATTCTCCAGCCTGTTCAACTCTTAAGGTCCATTCAGAAACTCTTCGCACAGCGATGCTGGTCTCGGACTTCAAGCATTAATCTGGGTTGAAAACAGCGAACATAAACTTACTATTATTTTGGCCTAAGAGGAGGCTCAATTATGCTCTGAACCTTTTGAAAATCAACACTGTATCACTATGTTCGTCCGGCAGCTCTGTCCGCCTCTTCACTGCAGCCCAGCTCCTCGCCCACGATGAGCATCTTCGATAGCGGCGGATCCTGGTCTCAATCCGGACGTATCGTCGCAGGGAAGTGTGCAGCTTCAACCGTGTATATACCCGTGCCCTGCGGTAACATCCGAGTAAGTAATTGAGGCCCGTGCCAGCGGAAACTGCGCCATCTTGTTGCCCAGGGTAGTTATGTCCTCGATACACCGCGCAACAGAATCGGAATACCAGATCACTATAGATTCACGTCATCAACAAGAACAAAATTTCGCTACGTCTTTTGTGACCCCGGATTGCTGTTGCGAACTTCGCTGTCGACAGTGTCATCTGACCAACTGAACACCCCAGGCCCATGACTCTGACATCGCGAGCCGAGGGCCCTGCGCCGAGGTTGTCAAGTGCACCCAGCATCCAGAGCTGGAACAAAGAGTTGAGAATTGTGTCCTCACCACAGAGACGGTGCACGTTTCGTGCTGTGGACACGAAGGATTGGTGGACGGGCTTGCGTAACGAGGCAGTACAGTAAAGCATCCAGCCTGGCCCTGACCTTCCTACACTACAAATGCTCCGTGCAAATTCCAGAAGCGCGGCGCTGTCTGTATACGCCTCTACCGCTCTACCGCCTATACTACTGCTGCTGCAGACGCCACTGCTACTGCCACTGTTGCTGCCAATGCTACTGCCACTGCCACCGCGAAACCCTACTCCTCCTACTACTACTACTA